CCCCCCCCAACTCTTCTGACGAGCCCCTCAAACCCTCTATGTGTAGTAGCAGTGGAGGTCTGAGTAAGGATGGTGGTGAAGTTGCAGCTCCCAGGGCATTGGAAGTTACTGCTCCTGAGTCATTCTGGACATTTGAGGCCACCTTTACTGGAAGAACTTTGAAACCCGTATTTCCCACACCTGTGTTTGGGGAAGGCAGTGCCCTGGCCAGTGAGCCAGTATACAGCAGCATGTCTTCAGTGTTTCTCCTTTTAATACTAGTTTGTGCTGGGTGGGGACTGGAGCACCCATTTTACCTCCTCATCAGGTGTCTGAAGGGCCAAGTAGAGGGATTTTCTTCCTTGCTCCCTGCCTTATTGGTTGTCCTTTATATCTTCCTTAAGTCTTTTTTCCTTGCTTTCTAACATAGCAGAAGGCAGTGCATGTTTGTGATAGGAAGAGGTTATATAAATATGTCTCTAGAAAATATTGTTGTTGCTTCTCTAAGAGTTTTAGAGAAATTAATGGATCTTAAACTATGGGGCTTGTTGGCTTCCTACATTGGAGCATCCCCTGCTTGGCTGTTTTGTGTGCAGAGGACTACTCAAAGAGGAATACTTTTTCCCTTCAACAGTGCCAAATAAGAGATGGTGGTTTTAAAGTCTGTGTTGATGGGAATGGAGGTGGTCTGGCAGAGTTCTCCTCTGGGGCAGCTGGAGCTTACTGCTGCAGAGCACAGTGGAAGTGTGTCCAGTTCCTCAAACAGGAACCAACGAAATGTGTCTGAAAATCATCCTGTCTACATTGACTGCACCTTTCTTACCTGTAGAGGTCTTCAGTAGCTCTTCCCTTTCCACCATATTACTTTTAAAGCTGCCTGCTTCCTTTAGTAAAAGCACTCCCTGAGCCTTGAGGAAAGAAGGGTGGTGGTGTGCAACAGAAGCAATTGAAGAGTGGCTTTTAACAGTAAGTAGCCAGTGGCTTTGGGACTGGATAAAAGCAAAGCTCATTCTCATTCAGTTAAAATAATTTTTTCCATTTCCCTATCTTGAACTTCCATGTGACTTGGAAATACCTTGCAAATAAATGTCTAGCTGTACACTGGGTATTGGGAAGTCTCTGTAGAAGCTGTGTTTTTCTGTTCTTGTATTCCATGAGACAATATGAGCATCACTTGTACAGGCCATGTCAAGGATACTAGTGCGAATAAGAACAATAACATCCATCTAGTCAAAGATCCATTTTTAATAAAACCATCAGATTTATTTTAAAAGGAAATTGATAAAATTAGTATTGATCCTACCAATATACTAACGTTCAAATGAACCACTACTGGTGGACGGCATCAAATCTAATCCAGCACTCAGACTTGAAAGGTTGATGTAACAACTGCTAAATGGAAAAGAATATCCTGAAGCATTGGAGAGATTGTTTTGGTGCACATGCACTATTTGTAAAAAGTATGCACTTAAACACAAGGGTAAAAAAACTCTCAAGATGATGTAGCATTAATTACTTAGTATATTGTAATTCAAAGTTAATTACTTTTTGAATTATAGTATATGGAAATAATAACTGCTTTCCAAACATACTTTGGCAATTCATTTACTGAGTGGAGTTCAGTTGCACAAGTAACACAAAAATTTTGCTGCAAACTGCTTGAGATTGCTATGCAAGCAGTCTCTCAATTTGCTGTGCAGTGGACATGAGGAGAAGAGTTTAGTCCTCATTACAACACTGACTGTCCTCTGCTCCCCCCCGCCGTTACTTGCTGCTGCTGCAGCTCCCCATATACCTTAAACGCAGAGCCTTCATTTGTCTGATGTTGTTCTTTGATGCATGCACCCTTAATATGCACCTGTCATTCTAATTGGTTGAGAGCAGAAATTAATTCTATTCAGAAAGGTAGTTAAATTTAAAAATACTGTATCGCTTTTTAATGTGTTCTTCAAATAGAAAATAACAGAGCTCTTTTGTTGCTATGTGGAAGAGCCACTCAAAAGATGAAGCCAACTGATAATATCAGGAAACTGTGAGCTGCTTGTATACAGTGCTGATGAATATATAAAGTGAAGAGGAAGAGATTTTTGGGGCTCTTTTGGATGTTTGTATTGTTGGCATAAGGTAGATTGTTTTACAGTTGTTTGCACAAATTATTTTAAGTCGTAATACTTGTAAAATTAATTTTTTTCCTTGTTTTCACATCTGTGTCACGTTTTACATAGAGAAAAGGGAAGTACTTCAGTCAAATTACTTGTATTCTCACTATTGGTTTTTAGGTTTGTTTGGTTTTGGTTTGGGTTTGTTGTTTGGGTTTTTTTTAATTCGGACAATGCAAACATTTGTTCTGTTGCTTAGTCAGAGGAGAACCTGGATGAATAACTATGGAAAGTAACATGTGTATCTTAGATACTAGCAGTAGATGGCTCTCTTTTTATGCTTTACTCAATTTAACCTACACACAAAGCTTGTACATTATAGTTTTTTGAGGAAGCTCACTATATCTTTAGTGCGGAGGTTATTTCCCCTATCTATAGCTGTTAAAGTTCCTACAGGAGGATCACATGGATAGTTTGATATGTTTTTAGGAAGCTGCTTAATCTGTAACATAGACAGGAAGGGTTTTGCACATTGTTTGCTGATGAAGGAATGCTTTGTCCTGTTGTTTAGTTTTCGTCACAGACCAGATTATTAATGTATGAGTTGTTTATGCTATGCTTCCACGTGTCTTATTGTTTTCTTTGGCTTTTGAGTTTTGTGCTAACTTAAACTGTTTTTTAAATAACTATCCTTTCTGTGTGAAAAATGGCCTTCATATTGTTCTTTATCTAAGCTGCATCTGCAGGGTTTCATGAGGTTTAATAATTATGTTCTATAGTGCTTTAATGAAAGGCTCTTTGCAAATGAAAATAAAAGATCCTCTCCACATCATGTAATTGAAGATTTCAACCTCAGATTGTAGGTAGTATGGGCTTTCAAATATGTATGAAAAATAATTTAATTTCTTTAATCTATTTCATCATGCATTTTATTCTTAAAACAGGACTTTCATAGTAGGTGGTGTAAGTGTATTCTGTAGTTTGCAAACTACAGAATATTGCTGGTCCTTGCTTCAAGCAGTATTTAAAAAAAAAAAAAAGAAAAAAAAAGCCAAATATAGATCACATGGGTAATTGAAACTTGACTGCTTTCATCTTATCTTTTGTGATTAATGTATAACAATATTCATTAGATATGGAAAGAAAGAAAGATTCTGTATAAGTGTATGCTTTAATGAGGAAGAAATGGGAGGGTGATTTTCCTTTGTAAAGAGTGCAGGTAGAAAGGTGTATTGGGGCAAGATGCACAGTAGAAGAAAGTAACGAAAAGAGGCAGACAGCAGAGAAGAACTGGTGATGAAACAGGAGGTGAGGTTTGGAAAGAGTAAGTACAGAAAAGGGACTCTCAGAATTAAATTAATGTTGGGAGGTGGGAAGTTAAAAGCAAGAAGTGTGAACTTGAAATGCAAAGCCAGCACACATAGGTTTTAAACATGAAAATTGCATCATCAAGGAGCAAGAGAAGAAAGACTGTAGCAAACCAAGTCAGAGGGGAGTGACTTTGGGTTCCAGAGACTGGAAAATTGCATTCTTTTCATGCCCAAAGTACAGACAAGAAGTGATAGGATAGTCAAAACTGGGGTTTTTCTGTGCTGTTGCAGAAGAGGCTGTGCTTAAGCTCTGTGATGCTTTGCACATTTGCTCTGTAGGGAGAAAAAGGAGGAGGGAAGAGACAGAGAGAGCATTTGTGTGCCTGCCTGGACGCTGATGGCACTGACTAGACAGAAGGGTGGAAAAAGCAGGGCATGGGGGGAAGCAGCTGCCTGCTTTCAGTGGTCTTTGCATGATGTTACCTGATAGACTGTGACCTAAAGACATAGAAGGGAGACAAAACTGAAGTGAGAGCTCAAAACACATGACTGAAAGATTGTCTTCCTGGAGATGGCAGCAGAAATTGTAACAGCAAGGTGGTTTACCTGGCTGAAAGGTAACAGGGACAGGATTGCTGAGAATGATAGAAAGGGTATGCGAGAATTGCCTTTTTTCGCTTTTTGTATAGAGGGTAATATAATGGAATTCTTTATGGCACAAGTGATTTATAATAAAATTAAGAGAAGAGAGCTTAAAGACAAAAGGCAGTGGCTTGCTGTTGAAATTGATGGATAATTGGTGGCAGGGTTGGATGAGGTGGAAAAAATGAGGTCAGAAGTAAATTACTGCAAGTCATGGTAGTAGAAGAGACTCTTGAAACACATGGAAGAGATAAAAGTATATTGCAGATAACCAGAAGATGATGAGAGGGCATCTGGTGTTGTAGAAAGCCAGAAACCACAGACAGAGCCCCAGGAAGGTAATAGGAAGTTTACAGGTACGTGCATAAAAGTTCCAGGCATGGTAGTTACTGGAGGTGCCTGATGTTAGGGTCTGATCTGCTGAAGGAGGTCCATCAGAGACAATGGGCTCAACATCAGTGCAGAGACTGAAGGAGACATGCTTGAACAAAGACTGAAATTTCATGGTAAAATATGTCAGGGAAGGGGAATAAAAAAAACCTAGTCCAAAGTCATGAATTGGTGAGAGAAAGTAATCTGGCGAAGAGATGCAGGAGAGGTTTTCCACGCAGTTGATCTGAGCTACCAAAAGATATTGGAGACAGAGTGGAGGATTGATAGAAATCAAAGGGGATGTGATGTAATCACAGAAACCTGCAGCATCAAGAGTTTGAAGTGGATAGAGTAGGAGTTTTATACTAGACCAGAAGGACACAGCAAAGGTAGTAATAGGACCAAAAATACTAATAGGATTAAAGGGCTAAAAACCATTGGGGCAGAAGTTGGAGGCAGCAAAAGTAGTCTCATCTTTCCAAATAGGGGTTGGGCTGCTGAAATGTGAGGGTGAAGAGGCTGGCAGATGTGAACGAGGTACTGGGAGGAGGAAGGGAAGAGGGTGGTAGGTGATGGACCAGTGCGTGGGCAGGAACCAGGTTTTATCTGCTGGAAAGGAAGAAAAGAAAAAGTGCAGAAATCATTGCCACCACAATAAACCACTGAGAAACTAGCAGAGGGAGGAGGTGGGAACAAAACTGAGTGGAGGTCTTTGAGTGAGAGTTAGGAGGTGGTGGAGAAGGGAGTAAGGTGACCATACATGGCTGTAAGTTAAAGGTGGAACAGGATTTGGGGAGGGAAAGAAAACTCCTTCTTGTTCTTCCCCAACTGAAAATCCTAACTCATCAAGTCATGGAGAAGAACATGGGGGTGGAGGGGATAAAAAAAAAAATCTCGGAACAACACTATCTAGGCATACACTAAAAAGAATACACAAGGGGAAAAAAATCAGCAGCTCTTAAATGCCTAGAATGTAAAGAACATAGTGGAAGAAAGGAGGGAAGGTTTGTAGAAATAAATAAATAAATAGGGCATCCTGCAAAGTAACCTACTTTGGGTTTGAAGTGATCATTTATCTGCGTGGCTAGGAGGAGCCACTGGCATTGCAGCAATTTAGCTGTGCTCAGAAAGGGATGGAAAAAAATCCTGAGGTCTGCATAGACAAGAAGGAGTTAATGCTTGTCGAGCATTATTCTTATACAAATTAAGTCCAGAGCACAGCAGCAGCCTCACCAGCAGGAGCAGATGCTAGGCAGTGATGCAACCTGTGTTATTTACTTAGGCCTCTGTAGTGACCTCAGTGGCTTGCAGACAAAGGATACACATATCTGGAGGTGGGTAGCATGCTGATACCTTCTTTATTCAGTCCTTTTTCTTTTATTGCAAACAAGCTCCTGTAATCCTCTTGCGTGGAGCAACAGGGGAACTGTGTATTTTTAGCATGGTTTCAGAAGGAGGGAGAAAAAAGCTCCCAAAGAACTGATTCAGATTTGGTTTCTGTTTTTGTACCAATATAACCAGGAACGTTTAGAAGCCATGATGCGTCGGTCCCTTGAACGCAGCCAGCAGCTGGAACAGAAGCAAAAGCGATGGTCGTGGGGAGGAGCACTGGCTGCAGGCTCAGGAGGGAGAGATGGTAAGTGAAACAGGCTGCCTGCATTGCAGATCTTGAAGTGCAAAATGCATGAGGTTGTGGAGATAGTAAGGATGATGCATTTTATAGTTAGGGTGGTACTGTAGGGGCTGCTGCCTTGGGGTGTGAATAAATGCTTTGTAATTGCTTGCCAGGCTTCCTCTCTCTGATACCTTCTGGGGAGAAAGGTCACTCCTAACTTTAGGAATGCAGATCATTTTAATAGAGTAACCAGAATCTGTTTGGAGGATGCTAAATGCTAAAATTAAAATTTATGCTCTCTCTCCCTTCTTCTCTTCCCCCGCATTGTCTTCCCATGCACACACACACAGAGTTAGCAAATTTAATATTCGCCAAAAGACTGAGTGCTGTCTAAGCCTTGCAAAAGATGATCTGGTTTTGTTTGGTCATTCTAAAAACCTGTCAGGAATTTCTAGATGACTATGCAGCATGTGCAGTTTAAAATAGTTTGATTTTTTCCCAACATACTTTTTGTTGCTGCTCTTTTTGATTTGGCTTCGGAACAAATTCTTTTTATTACATAATCAGTCATGTACTGCTTTTATATTTCAAAAAGATGCATGTTTTCTGTTTTAAATCATATAATTTATTTAAATTTGTCAGGTTTGAATAAACTGATGCTATGCGGGAAAAATATCCATGTTTGGGTGATGATGAAATATGACAGTTACTCTCTTTTAAACAGTGTGCAAATATACTTAATTCTAAAAGGGCAAACTGTTTCACATCATAGTTTTCACAGTATGCCATCCAAAAAGCCAGGAAATTAAATATACATGATAACAAAAGAAGTCTTTTATACTTTGAGAAGTAAACCAGTTTGTCGTTGTGATGCAGTTTATGCCTAATTCCAGGTCCCTCAATTTACTCAGTAATTTCTTTCACCTCTTTTTGCTCTGATTTCTCTGCTGTGTAGGTGAATCAGAAAATACCCCACCCCCTGTTCTAGGTTTAGCTGCCAACACCCTTCCTCCAGACCCTGTGACCTCTACTGCTCCTGCTGATTCCTTCAATGGTATTTCAGAGAATCACAGTACCATCATGTCTCGTTTATAACTGTTCTAATCACTGTAATCCATCCACTGATCTTGTCCTTCCTAACCACTGTTTTCTTATTATTTCAGTCTGGTACTCTACGGCATTACCCTTAGCGATGTGGACCAAATGTCTTTTTAATTTCCTTTTAATTTTGCCATGGTGGAGCAGTGCATGCCTCGCATTCCAGCACAGTAGAGGCATTTCATGGTTTTCTCACTAACCGTAGACTTCTACCACTCAGATTCTCATCTCTGTTAATTCTGCGGGTGCTCTGTGTTTGTGTGTGTGTGTGTGAGAATATAATTACGCATATATTCGACAGTTCTAATGGACATGTGCAGGTGCTGTTGAAAAAAATTTCAGTTGCACAGTAAGAGAAAATATGCTATGGAGACCATGTTTCATCAAAACAGTCCTCTTTTTCCATCTTTTTTTGCAATATTTTAAGAACAAGCAAATTTTGTATGAACAGCCATGCTATATTTTCAGCCTTCTGAAGTGGATTTTGGCCAAGCTGGTATTTCTAACAAACTCAAGTAGTTGACTTTGTTTAGGCAATCGTGTTCTGTTTTCTTTTAAGTTGTTCAGGTTTGTTTGGGGTTTTTTTAAAGTATTATTCCCATAAAAGGACTGTGAAGTAGACGAGTCCTCCAAAATTAAGAATGGATTGCATATAAGATTTCTAATTTTGATTGCAAATGCACTTGGCATTTTGAAAACATAACACAGCAATGTAACACAAGCTGTGCTTTTAAGAACTAGGTTCCTTCTCTCACCCCAAGGGAGGAGCTAGGCTTGCATGTTACTCCTGCAGAATGCACAGTAAATGTTGTTCTGCCCACAATCTCGCAGAACTATTACTTCTGTGCAAACAGATTCAAATTTTTGTACTAATTGTTGCTCATGTACAAAGAGATTTGGATGTGCAACGAGATGTTTTGCAGCACACCAGCGTTATACCTGCTTTTCAAAAAAAGCAAACGTAGAGAATTGTATCGTTTACTGTAGTAGTTGGAGGCAAATCTTGCAGACGTCACTGAGGCAACGTTTCGATGGATGTAACAGGGAATGCAGTAACTTAGGGGCTGCAAAATTAGGGCTACATATATGTCTAGTTGAAAACATTTTTGGTTTTGAAAGAAATAAAATTCAAATTTAAGGGACAAAGCTTCTATGCTTTTAGCTTCTGGGCATCATGCAGTGATTGTCATATACTAGCACACTGTAGTAATACTTGAATAACATTTTTCTGTCCTTCAGTTGAATAAATGGCAAGATAGGAAATAGGCATTGTGCTTAAACAGACTTTGTCAAATGGTATTTCAGAAGAAAAATGAAAGTACTTGGGGTAGTACCAAAAAGTGGGGGTTTTTGTGTTGGTTTTTTTTTTTTTTTTTCTTTTAATATTCTGAAGAACAAAAAGATAAAGGCAAATGGCTGGTGCCAGATCAGTCATTAAAACAGTGAGTTCTCATCGTGCGAACACACAAATGTTGGTTATTTAATTTTCGTATTAGAATAGTACCTCAGGTCTACCTGAGTTCTTCCAGACTGAAAGCTGAGGGGAGGGGGAATGGAGATGAGGAGCTCAGAGCTGTCATGTGTGCAGTTCGTTTTCTTTAGGTAACTTTCTGCTTGTGCTGGTGTTGAGTATCTTGTATCAGAATGGCTTCACTCATTCAGACCTGATACATAATTATTTGCCTGTGGCAGTATGAAAGATAAGCTGTGGTAAAGCTGTACTGTTAAATTCACAAGCAGAAAAGTTGCATCCCAAAGCGTGTCTTATAAAATGCTGGTTGTCCAGCAGTTGGAAAGAGCTTATCTCATGCCTTACTCAGCGTGATGATCTGTGGCAAGGGCCACGAGTACAAATGCAAGGTTAATTTTGGGAGTTTATCAACACTGTGATGCAAATACAAATATCTTCAATGCGTCTCTCTGCAGCATGTGACAAACTTTCAGCTTCTACAATGAATCTGCCAAAGCAAATGGAATCGCCAATCAGTAAGCGCCTCTCCTCCTCCACAGCGGCAATAACACATTCCCCCGACAGAGGCAAGTGAATATGCTGGTCTCCTACCAGCATAAACTTTCCTTCTGCTTAAAGCACTTCTTGTCCATATAGCTATGTAACTCGCTTATGTCTATTATTCAGAAGAACTCAAACATTTGAGGGGTTATAAGTTAATACAATAAAATAGTTCTGCAACCTGTCCCCAAGACTGTGCTGCTCTGCTGCAGATCCTAGTCCAGCAACAAACCCTGTGGGTTTTTTTTTTTACTGATGTTCCCCTCCCCCCCCCCCCCCCCCCCCAATTTTTGATACTCCAGAAGACAGGCTTGTAAGTACATGCTGCGACTGCAGCAATTTCCTATAACTGTACAAATAATGAAAAACAAGCAAACCAAACATGTGGCTTGACAACAGACATGGGATGTACCATGGGCAGAAGTATGTCCGATGAGCCACCTGGGAGACTTCAATCTGGTGACCAGAGTTGTAGAGCCCTTTAATTTGATTTGAAACTCTGATCCATGAGAGGCTCAGCAAAAGATGATCATCTTGTGGGATTAGTGGTTACTAAACACTACAGAGAGGACTGAAGGGTTTATGCCACTGTGAACTCTTTGGATTTGTTTGGTTTGTTTTGTGTGTCTTTTTTGACTTGTCCCCCCTGCCCTTTTTTTTTTAACTCTAATGAGAAAAAAAGTATTGACTGAAATAGGTGACAATGAAGGCTTGTTTCTAGAATGAAAAGAGAAGGTAAATTTACTTTCATTTCTAAATTGCTTAATGAAAACTCATCAATAGCTTTGAGGTTATTATGATAGATGGTTATACGTATATGCATGCAATAGGAACATCTATAAATACCTGTCTTCTATAGTTGACGCTTATATTTATGGAGTAGGAAGGAATGCAGGCATATTGTATAAATAAGACTTATATAATGTGGTGAGACTGCAAATCTTAATGCAGTCCCAGTATGGTTGGCACATTCTTGAGTAGCTGTGCTGTTATACCAAATGTTTCACCTTTTCTACTGGGGAAGAAGGTAAACCTTTTTAATGCTGAGTCATGAAAGCAACCATTTTGCAGAATGGAACATGCCTCTGTGTAAGAGCAAAATGCAACACGGTCTTAACCCTACTATATTTATTGTACAGGTGGGAAAATAATTTAAAATGATGGAGAAACTAGAAACCTTTTTTTCAGAGGGAATGAGAATTATGTTTAAATATTTTTTTATCTCAAACATTTCAAGATTTTTTTTCATTTCATTTAATCATTTTGTTTCCGTTATTTTAATGTAACATTGTTTTATTTCTTTGCATTTTAAATTTTATTTTATTTGCTCCCATCCTTCAGCTCACCGCATGCATCTTAGTCCAATGGAAAACTTTATTGTTTCTCGACTGCTGACTCCCACACAGTCATCTTTAGCCAGAAGCAGAAGTACATTAGTGCTTTCTGAGCAGTACAATAATCCAGGTAAAAATGTGAATTACTCACTTTGAAACCGTTGAGGTATGGTTTTGGTTGCATTTGAGTAGTTGCTGAAAGAAATGGGGTACTATGAACCAAATGACAATTTACGTGATAGTACAGAATCAGTGATGAACTAAATTGTTCATGGTAGCAGAGTATTTAAAACTTGAAAAAACACATCATCTTGTCTGTCTTGTTCTGACTGTCTTTTTAAAAAAGAACGCCGTTTTTTAAAAAACAAACAAAAAATTGAATTAACAAAATCACTAAAACGTAAGCCAATGGAAAACTGAATAAATTCATTTAAGAAACAATTTTTTAGACCAGTGTGTGACACCTCTCAGAGGCTTTGATATATTATTGTTATCCCCTTTCATACCCAAGTAGTATGTAGAACAAAAATCCCAGTGCACCATTTGAGCCTTAATTATTTTTACCAGGGTTCCAGTTCTCAGCTGTTAAATTACTTTTTGCCTTTAGCTGTGTGACTGTATCTGTATTTTTATATGTGTATGTGTGTATACTCGTACAAAATGACATTTACTTAGAGGAGAAAACAGACACTGATAGGAAGGTGTCAGTTCCAGAAATTATTGATCTTTAAGAAACAAAAATTTAGGGATGATAGTTACTGTTCCTATCTGTAAATGGCAGTCTAAAAAACCCCTTATTTTGCAGACATCTACAAACCTCATGTTTCCAGTCCTGCTAATGCTTAGGCAAGTGCCAGACTTCCAGAGTAGTTTCTACTTACGAAGCAATACCTGGTTGTAGTGTTTACTGAAACAAAGACAAAAGTTTAACAGCTGTTTTTACTTTTATTAAAAACAAAAAAACCCACCCCAAGCCCCACACCCAAATGCCTGTCTGCAAAAGGAAACATTTTTTTCAGGATAAAACGAGCTAGATGGTAAAAGGCTGATCATCTTTATGATAGGTATTTTTATACACCATGGTTGAAATAGGCTCAGGTCCTGCATCTGCACTGTTAATACAAAGCTATTTAAAAATTCATTGCAAAGTAAGCCCACTTTCGTTTGTGTGTTATTTCTTTGTCACAGTGCATAGGGACATTGATATTGAATGGCTCTAAAATGACTTCCATTTTTTCTACATTAAAAGCAGCATCTGTTGGAAGGAGAGATGTTGTCATACAGTACTTGGCCCATGAGAAAATTCCCTGTTTACTGCTCAGGCATCAACTATCACTAAGACTGAACAAAAGCCAACTCGAAATTAGATCAGTATATTCTGCTTAAAATTTTGAGGTGAATTGCTGGGGCCGCCTACAGATGTTGTTTTCGGTGTTGTATTTGATATTGAAGAAATCAGTAGGGACTTCCTTTGTCCTTCCTCACTGGTTTTGCTTGTAAACTCCCAGTTTTATTTCTGTCTTCATTGCAGGATCTTTAAAGTAGCACGCTGGCATGTCTGACAAGGATACAATTTGGCCTGTAAACTGTTTTTTCCCTGAGCCAAAACAGGAGTGCTGATTCTGGGAACAGCTCTCTGTACCAGCGTCCTCTTGTCATTTCCTCGCAAGGCAATCGGGCTGTAGCACAGGTTGCAAACAGCGTCAATACTCAGAGCAGCCCTTGACGGTTTCATCAGTAATTGCCAGCAAAAGAGTTGAGGGGCATCTCCCGTTTGTCATGTACTTCTCTGTGTAGAAGTAGCTTCCTGAACAGGGAAGAGGGTTCTTCCTTTTCAGGAGCTCATACTGTGCCTCATGTCGTTATATTTGGGTCAAAATGCTGCTACTCCTGCATTTTCTGTAAGCTTAGAAACTAGAAGCCTCAATTTAAGACACTTTCTCTAGGGCAATGCATTGTTAAGGTTACTCTGAGTCAAGATAGTCGGGCAAACAGTTGTTACTGGACACATATAATTAAATTTTTTTTACAGCTGAAATAAAAATACTTATCTTAGGCAGCATTTAAGATTCTGCACGTTTTTCTTAATATTCAGTGAATTTTTACCAACTTGCTGGAAAGTCAGTCAAAGAATACACAGGTCCAGTTAAACTTAAAAGCATACAAAAAGTCTTCGTAAGAAATTTTATAGGACTGCCCCCAGTAGAAAAAAAATGTTGGAAATGTGAATTCCTTTACAGTTGAGCATAATTACTGCTTTTCCAAAGTCAATGTCCTCCTTGACTTCAGTTGAGTAAGATTGGAAACACATTGTCACATGGTTACAATTTGTGTCTGTCTTATTAATAAAGCATATACTGTGTTGATTTTTCTATATGTATGTGAAAGTTTCATCTTAGAAGGCAATATGAACAAAAACAGGTGTAAAATACTCCATTTAAAAGAAGTCCTGTTAATATTGCAAATAAAGAAAAAATACCCAGAAAGAGTTGCCCTGTAAGCTGTAATGCATGTGTCACACTAACACTTACGTCTACCACAAATAACAACTGGAACACCTACAGCAGCATTTAGTTTAGGTTTGGGGCGGGGTTTTTGTTTCTGGGGTTCTTTTTGTTGTTTGGTTGTGGTTTTTTTTTTAATTAAGTATTCTTTTGAAAAGCAATTAAGGTATTTAGGAGCCTTTGCCATGTTCAGGCTTTAAAAAAAATATTCCCTATGCTTCTATCACCTTTCCTGTTTTGCAATATTTGTTCAGAAGTCACCCAACTAGAATTGTTTGATTACTCTTTTTATCATATGCAAAGGAAGGTGGAGTTTTCAGAAGAGAAAAGAATCACAATCATAGTCAGGTGATTCATAAGGTATATGAGTAAGGGAGCGATATTGCGATTTAAAAAAAAAAAATTAAAAATCCTATAAAATGTTAATTCAGTTGAGGCATTTTTAGTAAACATGGGACCACGCTGAATGTGTTCTATAATGTGATCTTTTGAAACGCTTTTAAAAAACCCTTGAAAACTACCTTTGAACATTATAACATAAAAGTTTGCTGTTTTCTCCTCTCCTTTACTTCCGCTGTCTGTGTTCCCTTTTGCTCTTACTATTGTACTATAACTCTTTAGTATTCCATATCTGTCCTCGTGTAGCACCAGCTAGTCCTCTTAAATCTCCCTACAAGCCTTCCCCCAGCCGAAGCACCGACAGAAAGAAGGCAACTTCACCCTCCACTTCCGATGCCATGAAAGGGGCGGCTGCAGCTGAAGTTACTCAGGTGGGGTTTGATTTCGCTTCTGGGTAAACTGGTGCGGGTTCTGGTTGTTATCTTTCCCTTTACATTCATAAAAACAAAATGCCACCCCTGTTGTAAGAAACAGCGGTAAGAAAGTAAGCCTTGCATGCATCTGTTGCTTTTGTGCTCCTGTTTAGCAGGATTTTAGTATCTTTCTCCTGCTGGGCATCCGTGTTGAGCGCTGGTATTTGGAACAGCAGCACCTCTATTTTCAGGGAACTGAGATTTCTGGCACTGAAGTGTGTGTTTCTGGACTTGCCTGTAACTTCTGGGAATGGGGATGACAAATAGGTTCTCTCTACTGAATATGACTATCCAGTCTTGCTGGTTAATTATCTTCACATATTTCGGAAACTTGCCAAGTATATTGACAATGCCTCTGTTTTATACCAATTGCGTAACTCTTTCTGTGGACATTTTTAATGCTGTTTGCTTGAAAGACGCATTATTGATCCACTGTAGTTTCCAGAAAAGCAAAGGCAAGTCATTCACTTTCACTGAGTCTACACAATGTAAGGTATGCTAGGGCTGTAAAATTCACATAAGGTCCTGTGTCTTGTAATAGTTCATCATAAGGGGATTCATGCCATCTAAATTAGATGCGAGTGAGAGGACCAAAGCTGGGAGCTAAAGATTTGTGTTGTGTCTATCTTAGGTGTGATTCACAGTGTTACATCCAGCAGCGTTTCTGCGAGGTGCCTGTGTTCACTACTGATCATGTCTAAGGGGTGTTGCAGGAGCATTTAGATGATTTTGAAAGCTCCCAGTGCCACCACCCCTCCCAAGAACTCTTGGAGAGGTTCTGATGTGGTGTTACTTCTCTGCAACTTGTATACTATGTCCATGCCAGACATGGGGGGGTGGGGGGTGTTATGTCTATGTAAAATAAAGAAACTATTGAACCTTAGTTATGAGCTGGTGTTTAAAAAACTTTTATCTTAAATGTATGTTACACAAATCTGTTTATATGCCATCTTGTTAATAAAGCAATCAAATACGTTTTTGATGTGTTGGTCCTAATTATGTGAACTAAAATGAACTGTGCTTCTAGACTGAGAAGATAAAGAAAGAGAAGCGACCCACAACACCTGGTTCATCGTCTGGTATGGGATCTCCTCTAAGAAGGTCTGATTCTCCTGCTGCCATGTCCAGAAGATCCGCATCACCTGCGACACCCAAGTATGCCTTTCTTATTAGTGGTCTTATAAGCTGTGAGCTTCTTGTTACCTATAAAGGAGACGTAGATCTGTGAGGAACTTCCTCTGAAGTATTGTGTAAAATGTAGTTAATTTGGGTTATACATACACACATATACAGAGGGAGGGAGAGGTGTAGATGAACTAATATATGTAAGATTGTGTTAGTGCTCACTAGAGACACTTCCCTGCCTTTTCTCAGTCTTTTAAAATTATCACGGTGCATTTCATAATTCACATTAAATTTTATTTAACGTTTATTTTTAAGCATGCTTTTGTTTTATTGGGTTTTGAAGAAACTCTGCCTAGTGTGAAGAACTGCACAGAACATGAATACTAACTAGAAATTCCAGCATTTAAAATACATTTCCTATTGCTGACATGACCATCTGGTTCCATAAATATACTTAACTATGCGTCATCTAAACCATCGGTTTTAATCTTTGCTTCTTTGCAGATCTCTGTGAGTTTGTTGGGTTTTGTTGGTGGCTTTTTCATGCAGGGTTGTGGACGTATAGCATATCTGGGCTTGCTAGCAATTGAGTTGCTTTTCTTAGTTGTCTTTTGCAGACACTCAAAACTGAAGTCTCTATGCCACAGCATGCAACTCAGAAGTCTAAGCAAATGTGTCTTCAGCTTGCTTAGAACAGGATATTAAGTCTGGCTCAAATGCAGAAGTGTCATAAAGTAGTCATGGTCCACAGCAGTTGTCTGATTTTTTTGTTTTGTTTTGGGGTTTTTTTTTCCACTAGACCCTGTTCATGGGTCCCACTTCTGTCTTGAGAATTACTTCCTTTTGTCTGATTTTATTTATTTATATTAATCGGAACCTGGCCATATTCTGAACCAGTCTTGATGATCCCCTTTCTCACAAATTTCTTCCACTTCAAAAACTAGCTGGTGTTCCTTTTCTTTCAGCTCTGAGTGCATAGCCCTGTAACAGAGGATGATTTTGTGTGTGAATCTGGTGTTAGACAAAATACAGGAAACAGTCCCACTCTGGTCATTCTTTCTGGTTTAGACATTCCCTTGCATGCAGCTGGGAAATTGCAATTCTTGGTTCATATTAGAGGGCTACAAATTCTCAAACTTTCAATATTATATATATTATGTCATCAGAGTCTGACCTATGTAAATTTTGTGAAGAATGGAATGATATGACATATAATCACAATCAGCTTTTTTCATTACAGTTTTGAGCAGATCATTGTCTAGTGGCACTCCAAAATGTACAGAGAAAAGTTTGAGCTATAAAAATATATATTATTCTGTAGGTACTGATATTCCCTGTTCAGAATGCATCTTTCAGTTCACTCAGCCAGTACAAAAGACATACCAGGAGACATATTTAGTTAAGCAAAATGATTGGTGGGAAGTGGATTGCTGAGAGTGAAGCGCTTCTTGATGGGCAGATATTGAAAAGGTTGGTATAGCTCATCACAGAGACGTCTGGGGAAAAAGAGAAAAAGCTTTTGGGAAACAAACAGATGTTTAGTGCTTCATGAAAAAAGTATGCCCAGTCTTAATTTGTAGTGCTAATTTCCGTAAAAGGTTAGGCAAAGATTGAGACTTTTTTCCCCAGAGGTGCAAATTATGAGAACCTTTTTATAGTAAAAGGTTTTCATGCCTATAAGGAGTATAAGATGCTGTTTTTAGAGGAAGAAGCAGATGCTGTATGGAGGAATTAAGAAACCTACTGGTGGGTTTCTCTGTGATTGTGAGCCACAGTAGTTACCCCCCCCTTTTTTTTTTCTTTTTTCCTCCCTCTCTTCATCAAGAGAATCTGATTCTGGCCACTGCTAGAAATGTATTACTGAGCATTTAATCTTAACATGGCCCAATTAGAACACCCTCCTTGACCTTATGAGAGATACAGTAAACAGAGTTTAAATCCATGTTTATTACTGATTGCAGAAAGACAGTTCAGCTTCAGCACTCTAGAAACTTCCCCTCAGAAATTTAAAATAAAATAAAAAAAGGCATCCTGGTCACCATATTATATTATTACATAAAGATACATATTTCTTCATACAATTCAAATGCCAGATAACAATCTCGCTGGTCAGTGGATTTAAATACAGGCAATCAGGCTTTTGGAACCTTCCTTTAGATTGTATAATCTTACCTTTTCATTTAAAATTAACTGTGGAACTGAAGTATAATTTTAATGTGGCTAAATATGTAGGCAAATATTCATTCTCCTTGCAAACCTGACAATCTTTTACAAGTTTAATCTTTCTACTTCTAGCACACCATGTGGCCCCAAAAAATACCCTGGAAGAAATAAGAATACGTATTGTACAGCATTAGTAGTTACTGATCCTGCATAGCACCTTAACTTGAGCTGTTGAGGAAAGAATCAAGTATGGCTAGTGATTTAGATAATTAGCTGTATGCATTTTCTTCTTAAAAGTATGTGACTTGACATTCAGGTTTTCTTGGTATTGTTCTAGTTACTAGTTCTTCACCGTCATCTTGCTTTGTGAGTAGTAGTTGCTTGTCGTCTTTATATGTTATTTCATTATTTATTAATTAAAAAGCTCTTTTTAATCATGGTAAAGTAACTGAAACAGGCTCAAACAAGGCAATAAAACTTCAGCCTAAGGAGAGACAGTGATGGCAGAACAGTCTCACAGTAATTACATAAATAAAATACAGATGTTGAAGGTGCAAATTTTACTGAGAAAGCAAACAAGATCAGCCCAAAAACATAACATCCAAGACAAAATGAGTGAACAAATACGGACCTAAAAAGGAGAAAAGGGGAAAAAAAATAAATGTTGAGCAATAATTAAAAGCAAGGAAGGAATTCAAAGCTTGAAGATACTTGAAAAAGTAAATATCACAAGAAACATCACACAAGAAAGAAACCCCAAACTATTGCTTTGAGTCCAGTGTGGATCAGTTGACAGAGATGAAAATAAATGGATTAGAGAGCTGTGATAATTGAGAAATTATCTGTTATTTTTCCAATTGCTATTGGATACTAATTGTGTAAAGTGCTCCTGTTCTTCAGATCTTTCACAAGATCAATAATACCAGTTTTTTTGGTAGGGTGGGTTTTTTCTTTTTTTTTTTTTTTATGCTTTGTCTTCAAAGATCTATACATTAATTGGTTTATTCTTGCAGTATCCCTCAGAGAATAGTTACGTGTCCTATCTTATAGGTGGCAAAGCAATAAAGCCTGTGTCCTTCACATGTCTTTGGGTAAATAGTCCCTTTGAAATCAATGGGACCTGACTGAATCAAGGAAGTAGAATTTAGTTTTAAGTGTCTTCAGATAAGCCATAGTATAAGCCAGTGAATAAAAATGGAAAGCTCTGACAAGGCTCTGTGTTACATTATTTTGCCAAAGCATTACCTCATATGAGAAGGAGAAAGGGGCAAGGGAAAAGGGACTGCAGCGCTGCTGGTGGTGGTGGTGGTTCTTGGTTCATTCCCAGTTCCCAGTCTGTGTCACTGTCCTTTGCACACAGTTTCACTAACTGAACCCGTAATTTGGTGGGTTTTTTCGGTGACATCCCACTGCAGCTGTTGGGACACACTTTCATGTCAGAAATGCACATGCTCAATCAAATTACAGAATACCGATGAAATACAAACCTAGAGTAGTACAAAAAAAAGCCCAAACTTTTAAAAGTTTTAAAAATTATGTACTAGAAAGGCGTCTGCATGTGGTGAATTTCTCACAGAAGTAGCTTCTATGTCTTGCTGTCATCTAGTGTTAGATTTTATTTGATAATGTGCTACACTTACTACTCTTGATCTTTATTTTGCCTTGGAAAGATAAAAGCAATGGGTAGAATGTTGGATCAAGACTATTTTGAGGTTTTTTTCAGCAGCTAGCTAGAGAATGGGCCAATTTAAGATTTTGAGAACATCTATAATAATGCAGCTAGCAAAATAACTATTCTATAGTCTTATGCTGTTTGTACTCTTTTAGGAAATGTAAAAGAGAAATGAATCTGTCTCTGGCTAGAAAAGATCAAAACCAGGAGTGAAAGACAACTGCTTTTGAGAAAACATCACAGATAGCAGAGCTAAAATGTCAGAACCCAGGAACAGCTTGTGATCAGAGCAATCTCAGAAAGCAGGCTTGAGAACATTCAAGTCCTTGGTGTAGTTTCAGCAGAGCTTTTGTTGAATTAATAGGGAGATAGGGAAAAAAATAATGCAGCTCTGGCATTGCTGCAGATTTCTGATTTACAGTCAGCCTTCTGAACTGCTGTAACCAATGACCTGTCACGTAACTGGCTTTTCAAGAAAGCATGCTGTTCTCTCCCTTGCTCTTTATGGACAAAATTGGATGTGACCTCTGGTTCATGTACTACATGTACTTTATTTTCTCTGCTTAGCAAAAGTAAAAGCTCAGAACCCCTCTTGTGCTAATCTTGACACATTCTTCTGCAGTATGGGCTATCCCTCTTTTAATTAAATGAGAGCCACTGTAATTTAAGGACCAGTGGATCCTCAGACCTGATAGAGGTTCTTGCAGTGCATGTAGGGGTCATGATGAGAATGGCTTCTTAGGAGCTGCTGCCTCCATGTCAACACAGGGCGGTTAGGTGAGAACACTAAGACCTCCTGGAGGAAGGAGGATGCTTCCTGTACTTCTGTATTCCTCTGTAAAATCTAGTGACCGAGATGAGCAAACTTCCAAACAGCTAACATGCTACCATTTCTTGGATTTTGGTGATTTGTCATCTTAATTCTCTGATCCTCATCAGGCATGCTTCTGTGTTCCCACATTCTTACCAGGGTTTCATTACACCCCTTGGGTTTTTTTCTCCTAAGGCAAAAATAAAACATTTTTTAAACCTAAGCAGACTCCTATGCAAGTGTTTGTACATTTTCCCCTTAATATTCCCATTTTTCTGTCCTCACAATAAAGTTTGGCCCTTTCTGGTGAAAAGTACCATCATTTAAATACTATTAGGAGGAGTGTTTTTTCCATTAACAGTTCTGCCTGTGTCTAGGAATGTTAAAGATGCTAAGTTGACAATATGCTCTAAATACAAGGGGGATGACAATGTTCATTTAATAATTTCTACTGGCATCCAACATGATTTAAAATTTCTGAGAAAAGATTCTTCTTCCTGATGGGCTGTCTCAGCTTTTCACTCCTCGCACTGCACTGTTGTCATCCTTGCAGTCATCAGTCTTTTGTATGCCTCTCCCTTTTAGTTGCTTTAAAAGAAGCAGAGCCATACTTTTTTCTTGGTCTTCTGGCCAAAGAGCTGTAAGAAAACATTTCTGTAGGTCTAAAAGTTCAAAGATACATTACTTAAATAATGCATTCATCACATGTTTCTAGTCCAACAGGTAAGTTGTACAGCCAGTCTGCTCTGATTCCTATGCAGTGCAAGATGCATAGCTCTCATGACTACACTCCTTCCTACCAACCTCTTTAATTTGATTGTCATGTCTTTATTAGAGAACAATTACCTCTGTGCTAATATTGAAAATGACTCAGCCTTAGTTATATGACTCTTTTGCTCCTCCTGTCACAACAAGTTAAATAAAAAGCATTGCAAGGAGTGTGTGGTAAAGTCGGAAATGTAAACCAAAGACAGCAAGAAGGGACTATGCTTTGAAGAAGTGTCTGATGAGCAAGAAGCATCCTCTGTGCTGCAGAGAAGCCTAAGAAAAAGGTTGTTTTCTTTTTATTTACATGTTATATTTTTATGAAATGCAGTTGGAAATGACTGTGATGGTGAGGCACGTACAAGACGTACGTATGTAGGTGGGGCCTCGAAATTCACCTTTCTCTTCAGGAGAGCCTGGGAATCCATCTATATCCTAAAGACAAAACTAAAGACAATGCTAAAACCAGATTTGGTCAACACCAACCAATCTCATTGGCTTCTCCCTTCTCTGTTTTTTACAAGAGCTGGAAACAGACATGCCTGTCCACATCTTCCAATGCCTCTTTCTGCCAGGGAGCAGCAGGAGCAGGCTGCCCTGCAAGGCAGGGCGAGCTGGGAGCCATGGGTGGCAGCAGAGCAGACAAGGACAGGGACCTCCTCCACAGCACCCCGTCCCATAGCGGACAAAAAAAGTGACTGGGGAAGGTCTGGTGGCGGTGACCAGGGTCAGCCCAGAGCCCAGTGATGGCCAGCAAAGTCCTCACTGAGGCAGGTCCAAGGACAAGCCAGGACACGAGTTCAGGACCAGCTGGTTGGGAGGCCAGAAGCAGGCTTAGCTGCAGCTTGGCTCAGGCGAGGACCTGACAGGGAGCTCCTGGGCCTGCAGGCAGAGGGTACCTGAGCTGAACTTCACGTTTAGTTGGGTACTACTGTTCCGCTAGCTCAAGGGCTTTTGGAGTCTGTGATGGCTCTTCAGTGGGAGTAAGAAAGTACGGGTGATGCAGTACTCTGCAGTCCTTTCCTCCCCGCAAACCGGGCAGCTCCCTATATTCTGGTGTCTCCACTTCTTTCAAATGCAGCATGATATGGTGGAAAAGATCTCTTTCTGCTCCTGGATTTGTGAATTGGGGGGGAGTTGAAAGACATTTAATTTTTATTGTCCGCTCTGTAATGCGAGTGTTGTTCCGGTTATAATAGCCTCTGGCCACACAATACTGTAGTTAGATCTATACAAAACTTGCCAATCCAGTCTGTTAATTTTCAGCCATTGTCCGTGTTTTTCATGCTTGTGGTCTGCCAGAATGAGTGTATAGTCCAGAAAACATGTTATAGTATATGAAACTCTGTATCGTGTAGATGAAAAAAGTGATAAGGGATAATACATTTGTATCGTAATTGCATATCCATGAGGAAGGTTAAACTACATGTGTAATTTCACTTTAATGTAGGAGTATTTATTCTAAAGGGACTCACGTAAATCATTATTTTAAGATCGTAATCTCTTTACTTCCATACTACTTTAGTCACACAGCCCAGCCTTTCTTAATGTTACAAGTATTTAGTGCTAGTTACTCGTGGTACATAAATAATGAATGGTGTTTGTGTGTAGTTTTGTGTTTCCTGGTAATCTGTTCTCTTTAATGTGCGCCTATTTTCAGTGAATATCAAGTATCCTTACCCTTCCACTTTCCCAGAACTGACTTCGAGGTTATCATTTCACCTAAAGTATGCAACAGCCGAACGGGCAGTCGGCTGCATTGCTGCTGTGCACTGCCGTCACCACAAGTGCAGTTGGGTAAAAAGTTGCAGGGGCTGAGTTCTGAGCCTTGAGTCTGTTGTGCTGGCGCTGATTAAAGTGCTCACTGAAGCAGCGGAGCTGACTGTACAATGGTTTGGTCAGTTCTGTCTCTTTTTGTGGTACCCAGCTTTGCCTTCGTATATAGTAGTATTGGGTGCTATTTTGGAACATCAGATACTGTTAGAAAAAGACCATGTTTGACAAGGGGGTATTCAGATGAAAGCAGCACACTGCAACTTGTTATAATTTCTGCAGACAGAAAGCAGCCATAGCTTTGCTTTAAATGTTGAGGAGGACTATTGAATACAGTAATGTTGGCAAAATTGTTATGAGATGATTGTTACTAAAGTAATTGGTTTAGGTAATCCATGATTTCGTATCTCTTGCCTACAACTCAGACAGTATTATTGGTCTTTTTAAATGAAGTTTTTCTGTAATCATTTGTGCTTGCATGCCAGTTCCCTGCATTTCAGGTTCTGGTTGCTTGCATCCAGGTGGTTCCTATGCAGTATTGTGCAAAACAGTTGAAACTCCTATGTAGCCAGAGACGAGAAAAAGGAATGATTTATGTGAAGATGGAGTTTGATTCCAAGCTGTGTAACATAGGGCCTGTTTTGATTTTTGTTTTCCCTCATCAGGACAGTTGCAAAGACTTATCCCCAGTCTCCTAAAAACGCCAAACAATACCCAGCTTCTCCTGTGAAGCATCGTGCCACTTCTAATCTCAACCAGGAAACTCCTAAAAAGAAAGCAGACAAGGAAAAAGAAAACATCAGTCATCAAAAATCCCCGGGAGCACGCACCGATGAGGCAGGCCAGGTGGCTTCTGAGAAGCACATGCCTTCTGCAGGAAAGACTGAAAATAGTGAAGGTGAGTCCTGCTGAAAGAATATATTGCAAGATATCATGGGTCCCTGAGGCTTTTAGACAGTGATGACCTGTTCTTCTCCTGAAGCTGCTCAGTCATAGGCTTATGAGAATGTGTAAAGGTATGTACTGGAACCAGTATATGTATAGTTTTCACCAGGGTTACCCATGTATGAAAAAAGCTTGTTAATGAGGATGTTAAAATGCTGAAATCCAGGGATGCCCTTACCTATCCCATATTCTATCTGCTGAAAATGTTTTTGGTGTGCTTTTGAAAAGCAAAGGTGTCTTACCAGTGTGAACCAGGCCCATTTCAGCCTCTGTGCAAGCGTGGCAGTGCTGGGCACTCTCTTTGTTCCCTGTCTAACTTTCCACCCTCGGTTGTTTGCTCCTAGGGAAGATCACAGCAGGAACAACTGATGCAGAAGAAGCTTCAAAAATTCTAGCTGAAAAAAGACGACAGGCCCGCCTGCAAAAAGAACAAGAAGAAAGGGAGAGACAGGAAAGAGAAGAACGGGAGAGGTATTTCTGTTGATTTGTGAAAGTTATTACCTAATAATTTAACCTGTATCATTGGAGAGGCTTGAAACTGGTAGTTTTAGAATCAAGGTGGGAGCTTACATGTAAGTGTTAATTTCTTTCAACTTGGCCTCATAATTCATTAGTGTCTTTTGCAGTCTTTATGACTAGTGAAGTTAGAAAATAATAATTTGGCCTCTTTAAGAAGCCTGAATAAACTATTACTCATCCAAATACTTCAGGTATGTCCACACTGCAGTGTGCTGCACACTGTAGTATGGACCTACCTGAAGTAAAAGACAACGTGAAAAAATACGAGGCAGTTTTAAATGAGCTAGTTCACGTAGAAGAAACAGTCTTGCAGTAGTAGTGTATGCCTTAAACAGCAAGTTTTGTATTGTTCAGGAAATTACCCTGAAGTTCACCTTCCTACCCAGCTCTGTAGCAGGCAGTGGAGGGCTTTAGGAGTGTGGGCATAATGGAGGCTGCTGTGCCTGAGCAGTGAAACTCTGGCTCTGTTCTGGGAGCAAGCTTTTAGGTTGTTCTCCGCATGGGATGCTGGTTGCAAGTGTCAACAAATCATGCTCTTCCTTCAAGCCCCTAGTCGTAAATCACTCTGCATGTCTAAATTCAACTTTGTTCTCATCGAAAACATGGTGGGGGGGTGGAGCAGAGGGATCACTAGTGCCTGCCAGTTTGGCCCAATGGAAATATTTCCTGGGTCCCTGATATGCAAGGATAAGAATGATCACTTGTCAAAGCAGCTCTTGCATGTGGTGACAAAGGAGCATGATGTCCCTGAGAGGGGCAGGGAACAACACAGGTAGAATTTAGACCCACTCTTTCTAGTGTACCACTGTGTTTTGTGGACTTTGTTTGCTGCTACTCATCCAAACTGTTTATCTTCAGCTGAAATGAAGGAAAAAAAATACTTGCTTGTTTATAGATACCAGAATTCTGGGTGTGAAGTACAGGGGAAGAGGGGTGTTTTTATTACTGAAACTTCTGTTATTGAAGCTCTAACTGAAATTGGAATGGAAATGCTTTCTTTTTCTTAGATCACACCTGGATTTTTTTTAAGGGAAATTATAATTTCTATGAAATATTTTTGGCAGTGAAAATAAGATTGGAAAAAAAATGTGATAGCAACCTGAATTCTGAGCATGTGCTCAACCTCTTTGCTATATCTTGGCATTTTTCATGAAAATGTGTGCTGATGCATGTATTATCAGTTACTGCTGATCGCATGCCATACATACAATAGGATTCACGCTAAACAAGGTGAAGCCTTTTAAACATACTGTTATTTTTTTTTTGCAGGCTTGAAAGAGAAGAACAGAAAAGAAAGGCAGAAGAAGAAAGACTTCGTCTGGAGGAAGAGGCTCGTAAGAAGGAGGAGGAAAGAAAACGTGAAGAAGAAGCAGCTAGAAAAAAGGCGGAAGAGGAAGCTAGGAGAAGAGCTGAGGAAGAACAAATGCTAAAGGAAAAACAAGAAAAAGAGCTCCAGGCCAAACTTGAGAGACAGGTACCATCTTGAACACAAATGTGAAACTTTATGTACATATATATGTATACACATATTTATATGTACATACAAATAAATACTTTATAGTATCTGGTAATCTGCCTGAAATAATGACCCTATCATGTTTTACACATTTTGATTAGAGGGAAGAAGCAGAAATCAAAGCGCGTGAGGCAGCTGAACAACTTCGTCTTGAAAGGGAACAAATCATGCAGCAAATTGAGCAAGAAAGACTGGAGCGGAAGAAGGTAGATATTTGCGTCTCAAGATAATGATTTCATCTCTTGTTTAAATACATAACCCAGGAAGTACCCAAAAGTATCTAGAAATAATAGTCTGGAGCGGTGACATGGATATTTATGCCTAACTTAGTATTTGCTACTTGCATGTTAGGGGAACGTGGACATCAAAATTTGTAACAGAGTGGAATCACCTAAGGCAAATGGCTTTCTCCTAGGCACTGAACAAACACAGAATTAGCCTCTACCCACAAAGTTAAATGCGTGAGACAAACAGGGAATGGCATGCCAAGGCAAACTTCGATTGCCGCCCAACCCAGGACATCACAGACTATTGAGGAACATGAGTGACTTTGTTTTAAAACTTACTCGACAAAAGCTCAGTGTCATTAATTGAGAAAGTTAATGTCATTAACAAACAGGTTTTCTCCCACCTGGCTTGTCTCTGGCTGCATTATGCAAAGGCAGCAGGGCTGTCTGGCCACTACTGCACAAGGAAATGGCTGGAGCTGCGTAACTTAGCTTTATCTACAGCTCTGTGGCAGGAAAAAGAGAACAACTGCAGAGCTGCAGAACCTCTGTCTGGTTATAAAAGGTCATCTTTCCATATATGTTATTCCAATATGTTATTTTTAACTGTTTACCACTGAGCTGGAGGCATGTTGCGGTTGCAGATTAGAATACCAAACCAAAGTGTCTTTAAATCTGAAATAGTGTCCTTTCACAGTAGTTCAAAGAGATGAAGGTTTGTTGGGAGGGTTTTATTTTAATGAACAAAGAAGAAAAAACCCCAGTAATTTAGGGTAATGCCTTACACATTTCCAGCAAGAATAACTTCAGATATTTTATTTTACTCTTCCATTCCAAAAAGCGTGACTATTTTTAAAGGAACTATTTGGAAATAGTGGGAAAAGCAACTAGTTAAAAATAATAGCTGTTGATTTTAAATAAACGTTCCAGAGATGAGCACAACTCATAACTGCAAACACCTGGTATTAAAATGTTTGTCTCTAAATTGCATCTACTGAGAAAGTCATGTTCTGTGATATCTGATATGTGAAAGCCAGCTCCCGGGTGTTTTCTACCTTTTGTTTTCTTTATTTTTCTTATTTATTCTCCCTTTTTCAAGGCAGGCAGGGATGAGGTCATGACAGTAAAGAAAAGTTTTTATTTTTGTCTTTTTTTTCCTCCTTTATCAGTCTCTTGTGTTAAATATTCTGTCTGCCTTCTCATCCTCTGATTTATTTTGATTTCTAGAGAATAGATGAAATAATGAAGAGAACAAGGAGGAGTGAAACACCAGAAATAAAGGTATGAAACAGTGTGCGGTTGCAGGGTTTTTTTGTTTTGTTTTATTACCCATATGTGAAAATAAGAGTAGTTCCATGTTAGTGGGTATACTTAGGTACACTCTACACCCAAATCTTAGTTGCATTTCGAACTGAGAATGACTGTTGCTGTGTCACAGTTATTGTTGTGCCACTGCTATGGAGACACAGCTTTATACAACTGTTGCAGACTTACCTCCCTTGCTATCTAACAAGGTGGCAAGAGCTCACTCCTGGATGCTGGAGCTGTAATGTTTGCTGCTGTGATGTATCTTCTCCTGCTTTGTACCAGCTGGTGAATGAGTTATTGAGCTCTCTGTGTTAAGCCTGCCAGGAATGTAGGATTGAGAACAAGGCAATTGTGTCCAGCTAGGAAGTGACAGAGAGTCAAGTTTTCACTTTTGTTCTAAGTTTTCTACTAAGGAAGCTGTTTCTTCAGTTACTTTCAGAGAATGTTTTCTTTTTGGAGTAAAAAAAAAAATTTTAAAAAAATCCTACACCTAATTAAAAAGGGCAAAAAAAAAATCCTTTCTTGCTGTCGATGACCTTGACCCTGTGGCCCTGGGCAGTCTCACAAGTTTCGAATCCAGTCAGTTCCATGAAGGTTACAGTCCTTCATCTAATACAGTTGACTCATTACTTGATTACAGAAGGAAGAGCCAAAACTGGAGGTACCATCAACTTTGAATGTGGAAAAGCAACCAAAGGCCCTTGTTCTCAACCAGCCAGGTAAAAATTGCCATATTTTTCTGACCTATTTTCACAGTTAGTTCTCTTCAGAGTTTTGTAATCTCAGGCAGAGCACTGTGTGTTATCGCAGGTTCTTTGCTTTCCTCTCAAAAAGAAAGCTATGTTTGCGTCAGTGACAAATGTTAGAAACTGGAGACTTAGCTTTGTTTTGCCACTTACGCAGAAGCAGAAGCTCCATTTTAGTACCTGACATAGCATTTCTGTGAGTGACAAGTTCCAGTCTGCCAATAAGTTTGGTTGCTGCAATCTACTGTTGAGTTTTGTAGGTAAAAAATTTTTGCACACAATCAAGCTTGCAAGCTTTTTATAGCACTGCTCTGAATCTTACATTTAATTTGACTTTACAAAAAAGTATGTGTATTTAAAGAATTATTAAATAAAATATACGTATCTGGCATGTTGCGAAATTCCATGCGGGGACGGACGACAGGACACCAATATGATGATCAAAGTCGCCAGTTTATTGAGCCTAGCTGATCATTCTTATACAATTCTCTAAGTTCCTAAGAAGCTTTGATTGGCTGCTGCATGCAAGCATTTAGTGTCCACGCGCACAAGCATAAAATGTGATTGGTTATATCAACACTGTACACGCGTATAAACATAAGATATAGTTGGTTATACTAACTCTGTACACACGCATAAACATAGGACATAATTGGCTATATTAACTAAAACATGTGAAACTTGTCTCAGTCTTATTGGTCAAGATAAACTGCCGAATTGAGGTTGTTTGTGCCAAGTTCCCTTTATCGTGGAATGCGCACCTGTGTTTTTCTAATTGGGATCTTTCTTTTTCTGTCTTCTTGTTTATTCTGTTCAAGGCCTTCTAAAGGCGTCTGGAATGCTCTTGCGACCATGAGCTACTTTCAGGCCCAGTCACTAAGTTCCATATAATTGACTCCTACACTGGCATTTATCTATATTTTGTTTACTTCCACAGGCTAAGGCTTTTAGTACATGACATAAAAGATAAAACATTCTCTTCCTGTTTCTTCAAATTTAAAAGGTGTAGCATAAAGAGCAATTTTAGAGTGGAAAAGAGGATTGACAGTATAGTATGATGAGTCATAGATGAAACTGAGTCCTACTGCATTGTCAGTCTTGTACTCGATCTATAACTTAAAAGCATTTGTGATTTTTTTAAAACTATTTAAATAAAGAAGTTGCTACTGTCGTAATTTCTAACCTTCTTTTATAGAGATCAATGGATTGGCAACCTGCCTGAAAAATAAAAGCTTAGAAAGTGCTGTCTCTGTAATCCCTTCCCAAGATGTAGTTGCTAATGGACTAAAGTCAGTTCCAGGACTTATCCAGCTGGAAGCTGTTGATGGGAAATCTAACAGCATGGAAGATTCAACAGATGAGGTTCAGTCCATGGATGTGAGGTACAGATCATATCTACCAATAGAAATTGTGGAATTCGTATTAGACACGCACAAAGTTTTCTGTTCTGTTTGTTAATACCTTTACTGCTTTACTTCTCACCTACCCCACAGTGGGGCAGTCAGGTGTCTACTGTGGTGTATGCCGCTCCTGGCAAGACGTGAATTGGTTGTTTCAGACAATAGTCAAGAGAACCTCATCTTGCTCTCGCATATTTGGCCAGGGGTGGGCCTCTGAAATTCTTCTACAGTCCTTACTTATGGATTCCATACAAGTTTGTCCAAACCTTTCAGATTGTTCTGTGAAAGTAGCTACTGTAGATATTGTCAGATGTCACCTTTTTTTTTAATTTGTGTCAAGACTGCATAGCTATGAAGCACGAGCTTTTCTCCCTCCATACAAACAGAATAAAGAAAATAGTAAATTTAGAACTTTAAGTACTTAACCAGAACAAATGTGTGGAAATCAGTAAATAACTTCGTTTGTATTAAATACTGCTGGATTTTGATGGAAGAACTTGCAGGAAAGAAGGAAGTTGGTAACTTAAGACTGCTATGAGGAAGCTAGCTCTGAATTTTAAACATGGAATTTTTATACGGTGCTTCCTTAATCAGTAAGCCAACTTAACCTTTCATATTGTTTCAGTATTTCTGGTAAATCTGCATAAATACTTAAGAAATGCCATAGTGAGACAGACCAGAGGTCCATCTAGCCTGTTATTTGGTCTCAGAGAGTATGAATAAGAAAAACTGGTTAGGTAGAGCACCTGAGCCCACTGCTTTCTGCAATCCAAGACCACACAGAAGTGGTCATTAGGGATGTTAGAGGGCACAACTCTGCTTTGCCCTTTGAAATATCCACTGATGAACCTGTTGCCCATGAGTTTATCCAACTCCTTTTTCAACTGCTGATAAAGTTTGCATCCAGGACCTCACCTGGCAGCAAGTTCCGCAGTACAGTCTCACTAGGTAAATTGCATTCTTTGATACGCATTAAACCCAGTCCTTTACTAGTGTCATTGGGCACCCCCTGGGTTTTGTGTTGCAGGATTTGATGCACGATAGTTCTGCCCTCAACGTATCCACCACTCCTTCATGGTTTTAGAAATCTCTGTGAAATCCCTCCTTTGCCTTCTCTTCTCCAGAGTGAAACGCACTAGCCTTACTAGTCTTGGCAAAGCGTCAGCTGGTAGCAGCACTTGTTAAATTAGATTGTAGGATTTTTAATGTCTGAAGTATGTCGTAAGGTCGCAAGAAATAACTTTTTATTTAAGTTGTGAAGTGTGAGTGCTTTAGGTAAATATTTGCAGGGTCAGGACAATAATTTGCAAGATGCAATAAACATTTAAGAAAGGGAGTGGTGCAGGGACTGAAGGAATGAGTTGGCAGTAAACTAGCAACTTGTTAGGAGATGAGTGTTCACATCACACAGCTACCACAAACCTTAATCTTTAAGGAATATGAATTAGGTATGACCTTCCATCCTGGACAGGGTAACCTCTTTTTATTTGGATTGGGACATACTCTAGGTAAAGGCTTGCTGCAGCTGGCCTTAAGATAAGTAGTAGTTTTTGTACAGTCAGAAGATTAATTTGGTTGTTGCTTAATGAAAAGTTACATACCACTTATGCTGCATCTTCCTTTCATTTATCTCTTGTGTAGCCCGGTTTCAAAAGAAGAACTTATCTCTATCCCTGAATATTCACCCATGAATGAACTCATGCCCGGTGTTTCTTTGGACCAAAATGGGACAAGTAATGCCAAGGCTCTTGAAGATCTCTTGGATTTCACAGGCCAAGCTACATACTCCAAGATGTCCAGTGATACCATCAGCCTAGATGACTGTAACAAAAACTTGATTGAGGGATTTAACAGTCCAGGACAGGAAAATACACTTAATTCTATCTGTTGACAACCTCGCTTTTCAGCAGAACAAATAAAGGTACAGTATTGTGATAAACATCGTGGATATGATAACTTGCTGTGACTACTTACGAGCTTCCCAGAAAAATACAGCAGTTGTAAACAGTGTATGTGGAGAGAGGAAGAAAGCTGGTCTCCTAGATATTTAAATTCAGCATAATCTTTCATATTTGCAGCTCTTTGTAAATTGGCATCATATACAAACTGAGCGTATCATAGCAACTGAAGGCATCTGCTAAATGGAAACATTTCCTTTATGCATTCAGAATATAGTGAGAAGAGTTGGGTTTTCTTTCTTCATTAATACAATACCTTTCCTGTAAGTCTTTGGAGCCTATTTGCATGAAGAAAACAGTTAAAAGTGGGGCCAGCCTAGAAAATGATAGTTCTTATTGCTGCTTACTCTTTCCTGCTGCTGTAAATACTTGCAGCACGGTGTAGTATCACTTACCCTGGAAAGCCTGCATAGTAAAAAAGCACAGTAGGCTTCAGTGACAGTTTCAAAGTATAATGCCACAGTCAATTTTTTTGAGAGGGTGTATTCTAAATTACAAAACTGAGGTCATCTAACTTGCACGGCTGACGTTGATATTCTTCTCTCTCTTTTTTAATTGACAGAGGTACCAACTTCTGGAGGATATATATCCCTGTGATGCTACTGGCAGTAAAATATGAGCTTGTCACTTGAAAAAGCTTCTGCAGTCCTTGAACACTGGATTTCAAATAATCAGAGCTGAATATAACTTTGTCTTCCCAGGGAATATGTTGACTAACTGGCTGCTTTTGGTAGAAACCAATGATCTAGAGCCTTGATGGTTTCAGGGAAGACTGAGTGTGCATTAGAATTTGAGCTTTAGCTGCTAATAAAGCACTTATTTCTTCTTTTAATTTAAAATTCATCTCAACACTTCACTGTGATTTTTACCTGCATTTTATTTTGAAACAATTCTTCCTTAAGCTTTATCATACATCCATTTAGACATGTTTTTCTTGTAAATAATGATGAGGTTTGCCCACAGTGCATTGAAATGAAATAATACACTGTACTTTAGTTTTGTGCCTATCTTTTTTGTCTTTAATAAGGAGTTATTGGCAACTTTTATGCAGGTGTATAATTCAAAACTATAGCTGAAGAAGCTTGAAAAATACACAACTGCTGGAATCAAAAGAGCCTTCTTACTGACTGTGGAGTGTGGGAGCTATCCCGTTATGGTTGTGTTGACACTTTTAGTCACTAGTGGCACTTACTGGTTAATATTAATTAGTCCAGGAGTGACTATCAACTATGTGTTTAAAAACATACTTGTGTAACACCTGTAAACAAAAGTAGGCAAAATGCCTAGTGTAATCCCTTTATATATATATATATATAGAATAGCTGTAGTAGATCCGAGTGGTTGGGGGGTGAGGTAACACGTTAGTCTTTGAAGATGCAGACACTTGATTAATACCAGCAGGCTTTCTATCCAGTGGGGAAGTATTTTGTCTTCCTATAGGCTCAACAAAGCAAGGTTTAGTTAGCAGCAAAACAATATGCGAATGTTGCAGCAGAAAAACAAAGGCTGAGACACACACGGGGAACACTGCTCGCCCCCTGAACGTTCTGTAAATATCTGTATGGGAAAATTCACATCGAGATGTATGGTGTCTAGACATTACGTGCCATACAGTGTTAACTTTATTTCTGTTGGTGAACTACAATAACTTTATGCTAGATCACATGCTGCTTTGAGGACACTTTTGTCCAGTTCCTTATAAGAATAAATTACAAATACAACTCTCTTTGGACACAAATGCAAAAGAAGTGGAAATGGGGTGGGTGGGTTTTTTGCTTTTTTGTTGGTTGTTTTTTTTCCTACATGTAAGGGAGTTCACGGCGTAGCTTGAGCTCAGTTGTAGCCCCATTCCTGTGCTCTTTAAAGCCAGCAATGGGAAACTAACCAATGATGTTATGTGCAAAGTACAAAGGAATCATACCTACAACAATCCAGCTCTATTTATGTTAGTGTACTTCAGAGAAATACTTTCTTTTGACTGTGCAGTAAGCTGTAGCATGGTTCTGTGTCTTCCAAATTAGTCCTTCATCTATTTCCTAAATAATAAACAAACAAAACCAGTTTGTTTTACTGTGATACATTGTGTTTGACAAATGTCACATTATATTTTATTATGGTGTCATTGTATAACCTGTAGATTTCTGTATTTGCATGACCTGTATAGCATGTATAAAGGTGAAATACATTTTCATTTATGAATCTAACTTGTTTCTTAGCTTTTTTTTTTTTACTCCCAGCAAAAATACGACTGATTTAAAAATACAGGTATGCTAATTTGTTCTGAGGTGTTTTCTGAAGGCGGGCATAACACTCAGTGAAGGAGTGGCTGTCAGAGCCTCAAAATACTTCACCGTTGCTTCCTCTGCCCTATACTGATTTGCTTTCTGAGGTCTTGCCAATACACAGAGGAAATGCAGAAGAACCTTAAGGTGAGGGTTTCCGAACTGTGGCAGCCAGGGAGCTAGTGACAGTGTACAGTCCCGTTTGCAGCCCCGGCTTCAGCTCGCTGGGGTATTACCTGGCAAAGGAAACCAGGAAAAGAAAGCGTGGGAGCCGTGGCTGGCGGACACTGTTCTGTTCCTTGTGCAGGAGCTGTTCTGTAAGGGTACCTGTCACATAAATGCTGAACTTCTCTTCAAGCTACCTGCATGTACTGCTGCTTAGAAAGAGGCCAGCCTGGAGCTGCTGTTAGTTTTCTAGTTAAACGGTGGGGGGAAATGTTCTACAGTTTGTTCATTTGTTTTGTTTTGTTTTTTTTTTATCGTAACTTCAGTCAAAATTAAAAATGAGAGAATCTACTTTTATTATGAAGTATATTAATACTTTCCATGGTGACAGTTCATCTCACTCTTATTAACTCTTGAATCATTCATGTTATTCAGGTCCACTCAATTATTTACTAAGGTGAAAGGAAGCATGGTAACTGAGCATTCATGAAGGAAGATACTGCCCATTTTCCTTTTTTATTTGCTTTCAGATGTAGCTTTACAAATTTGGCTGAATATCTGGAGCAAGTACTGTTAGCTGAAGGGTTAAATTGCTTCTACTTTTTGCTTTTGATGATGTAACTTCATACCAATACCATACCAGCGTTTGGTGCTGTGATAGAAGTCTGTGCAATGAGCTTTACTGTTAATTTGTCAGCGGTCTTGGAACTGTGGTAAGGGATCACTAGTGATTGACACAAGGTCCTTGGTAGAGCTTCTCTGCTGTAAAGCACTTGAGAATCAAGCTGTGAGAAGAAAGAAAAAAAGAGTAGAGCAGTGATCCTTGAATGGATTTTATAAATGGAGTTACAAATGGATTATTTTTTTTTCAGATTACTTTTAGAAAGTGAGCTGCACCACAGGATTGTACACACCAAGAAGAATTGGACACTGCTACTGTCCTTTCCTAGATCTATTTTCAGTAACTATTAGTAACTTTTTAATACATAAAGAAATGATACCTGTGACATAACGGGGCGTCACGGTAGCTCTCCGAGTAGGTTCAGCACTTCCCATGGCATTACCCAGGGAAATGACAGCCAGAGCTTGTCCCAGCCCCCAGCGAAGTCCCAGAGCAGACCTCCTGGCTCCCCATCCAGTTCAGTTCCAAACAAAACGGCATCGGTCAGGGGTGGATCTGGACACCCGGGCTGCGTGGGCAGCTGGCGCTGCGGCTCTTCTGCGTCAGTCACGGCTGCTCAGAGAAGCCCGGGGTCCCAGGACACCGCCGGGGCTTCAACGCTGCAAGGCAGCCGGGAACCCCTAGCAGAAGATGTCCCTCCTATAAAGGTTTCAGCTGTGGTCCCTTCCCTGTATTAGAGTGTAAATCGTTTAACATTAATGAGCTGAAGACTCTTCACCCCATGAGGTCTGTTTAATTGTTTGCTGTAAGCCACGGCCCGTATCCTGCGCAAGAGGGAGACTGTCCCGTAAGCAGCACAAACGGATCGGTGGGGATACGCTGCTCCTTCTCCTGCTTTAGTGACCGGTGGGACTTCTTCCTTACCCTTTCCTTCTCCCTCCCTGTACAAGAACGAGGCAGAGACTGAAACAGTCTCTTTGTTGGCTCTCATTTCAGAACAACGCTGTTCAAGCCGTTGGTTGCCTCCGAAAACACCACAGAGGGTGGTTGTTCACCTGTGCTGCCTCTGCGTACGCATGCACAAATACACGTAAATGGCAGTTACCTGACATTTGGGGATGTTGGTTTTCAATATCAATATTAAATTCTGAAAAATTTATTATTGCTGGGCCAGTATGCCAGAATCTGGAAAATATGATGTATGTGGTGACTGAATGCAATTTTCTCTGGATTTTCTTAAGAAAAACAGGTTTTAAATTAATTCAGTCTCTCCAGAATACATACACTTAAAAATAATAGAAAATTTAGGATGTTCAGATGCATTTTTGTTACTGCTGTTAGCGGCAATCATACCAGTCTGGAACACCATGAGCCACAATGTTCATCTCCCCCCTGCTTTTTTACCCCATCGTTTCTCTTATCCTTATGACCTCCTACAGCTGAAGAGGAGGAGATGCTATTCACTCAGCTGGCCATTTTTCCATGTCTGTTGAAGCAACACGTTAAGTGTAAAAGCCCTGAAAATTGCAGGTGGAAACGCTAAGAGAGAAAGGATGTTTATGGTTTTAAAATAATTACGTAAAGTGTAAGAAAATGGTTTCTTGACCACCAGAATAATTTTTGACACTTGTTTTCTTCTCAGTTGCCTTGTTTGTTCTCTAGCTTGTATAGGTTTTATAGCATTTCTAATGATTCAAGACTGAGGCAGTAATTTTTTTAAACTAGTGGGTTTGATGATTACCTGAGGCCTGCAATTTTCGGGATCAAAATAAATGCTGTGGAAGCTAGTGTCTGATGTTCACTTGGGAGCTCTCCAAAAATAGATGTGTATCCCTGCTGAAATCAAGCCTGAATGACTTCCAGAGAAAAAACAACTGTGCTGCAGGAGAGATTCAATGAATAAAAGGAAATGGTAAGCAATGTGCTGTGTGCTTTGCAAAGTCCTTGCTCTGAGTTTTTAAAGTAGTTACATAAATAGCTCAAACCAGAAGCTTTGCGTTACCACTCCTGTCTTCTTGCTGTGTCTAAAAGGAATAAGTTGAAGTCAGTGGCAATTGTAGGCGATTGATGTTATACAGGAATGGACCCAAGAACATAAAATTACATAGCTGGAGAAAAAAATTAACGGGCGTGAGAGGTGTTCACAATCAGGGAAATTATGCTGACAGTATTTCCTCATTTTTTTCTAGAAATAACAGCCACTCTCACCAAATTCAATACACGAGCAGCACAGTAAGTAGGATTAGGGCAATATCTGTAACACCATATTAACATTATGTTCACACATCCCTTTTCAGAGCAACTTCTCTCTTTTAAAATACAGATGGCAACATTGTCTGAAATACCATTATTAGGGCCTAAAATATGCAGAGCTATGGGGGTGTTTATACCAATAAATTCTACGGAGTTACTCCTAGTCCCCCTGCTGTGAAGTCTCAGTCAGGAACAGTTTTCACTCCTTCCTTTTTCTTCTTTTTCTTTTCTTAAACCTCTTATCAGTTCAAATACACGAATCCAAGAGAATACAACTTCTGGCGGTTGCTTGCTGCAGTGAGTTTGTTCTTGCAGTTCCTGGACAAAGACTGTCCGTACCATGGGTGGCAGAGAAACAAACAGTCCGAGGAGCCTTCTGGAGGCTGAACACGTGCAGTAGTCTGTTGGGGACGGCAGCAACACATCGCTGGCACCGGCAACGAGCATAATCCTGGTCAGAAATGGCTAAAACTTCCCCAGGTGATGACCGGGTCAGAATTTCTTTCCTTTTGGCAAGAAATGTTTGTATTTCTAACCTACGTTTTTACAAGGTTAATTTATGCTGATGTTCTTGGGCCAGTGTCGGATTTTAAGGGCAGAAAGCGTCCTATAGTAGATGAAAGTGCTGGTGGATTTAGCAAGTAAATGAGTTGATGGGATGAGGGAGGGGAAGCAGGATGGGTGAAGGCAGCAGTTGCTGAAGAAAGCTAAGATACTTTGCACATATTTACTGCCACGTAATCGCTATTAAAATTCCTAAGAGAAATT